CATGATTGGTCCAACAGGTTATCCCTTATGCTCAGATCTTTTGTTCTGGAAACTCTGCATTTGAGCCACAGAAGCATCAATGAGTAGAACAATAAACTCTCTCTTGGTCTTACCTTGTTCTAAATATCTTCCCAAACAGTGAGGAAAATATCAAAGTATTTCCCACCGCTGCCCAGAATATCAGATGAGTGAAACTTGAGCCCCCTAAAGTTTAGTGCATCTGTGTTTGACTGAGTCAGCACTGTTACTCCATGGCTGGGAGTTACTCAGCAGGTGGAGCAGGACTCTGAGGATTGGGAGGAGGCACACAAGCCAATGACTACTGAGACTGTCTGGATACGAAGGGTTTATTACTTTTTGTTTTGTTTTGTTTTGGTTAAAGAATTATTTTACTTAACTTTATTTACTTACTTACTTATTTTAATTTGACCAGAGAAGGACAGAGTGAGAGAGAAAGAGAGAGAAAATAAGAAAGCAAGCCATGGGACCAGCAGTTAGCGTAATGGCTAAGGTGCTGGACTCCCCTGTAGCCACCCGCGCTTAAAGTCCCAGACCCAGTGGCTTAAACTCATGCTGGGAACGTGGTGTGTGCGTGCCCAAGATCCTGAGAGGAGAATGGAGGAGAAGGGATTGCAGCGTGGCCATCTCCCCTGGGGGTTGATTTCTCGTTTTCTATCTCTCTGTCTTTCTGGCGAGTGCATGCAACCTATAGCAAAAACCTCTCCAAGAAAAAAAAAAAAAAAAACCATCAGGTCCAGGACTCAAACCACAGTTGGCCATGTAGGAGTCCAGAACCCTTACCCATCACATCACCTGCTGGCCCTGTGTTTATTACTTACACAGTAAAAACTAGGGAATCATTCCCAAAGTGGGGTTTCTCCTTGAAAGTAAGAAGGCTGAGTCTTTCACAGATGATTAGATACCTTCTGGCACTCCCATTGGCCTCTTTATGCAAATGAAAGAGTAAATCTCTGCAGTTCTGATTAACTACAGCCTTATTCTCTTTGGTCCAATTTTGAGCAAGTGAGTACCGTTCTGACTGGTTGCTCGGTGGGGCCAGCATGTTCACTCTTCCTTGCAGTGGTGGTCAACTTTAGGAGGCTCAGTCTTTTTAGCCCATGCATCCTGCAAGAAACTTACCAAATAGTAGTTCGCACCAGGCTGTCCTTATTTAAGCTAGTTCTGACCAGCTATAAAGTCAAGAACACAAATTCGAGGAACCCAGAAACTTGGAAGGGAAAAGGTTTGCATTTTTTTTTAAGTTTTTTTTTTTTTTTTCCCTATAGGGTATGTGTATTCGCCAGAGAGAGAGACAGACAGTGAGAGAGAAAGTGAGGAATCACCCCTCAAAGGGATAGCTACTCTGCAATCCCTTTTCCTCCTGGGATCTTGGGCATGCACGCACACACACTTGGTGTGAGTTTCAAACCACTAGGTACAGGACTTGAACTGTGGTCGGCCATGTGGGAGTCCAGGTATGTAACTGATATGCCGGCTGCTGGCCCCCAAATTCACAGCTTTATTTGTGCTAACCTGTAACTGAAACTTAACATTGTGTTCGTGTTGTTCACAGTATTTGTGACTCTCAAACCTTATGTGCTTGAAGACAGCTTGAAGAATCACTTACAGTCAGTCCTTCCTACGTTGTCATCGTGGTAGGTAGCTATTAGAGTTTTCACCAGGTCTTACTACGTTATTTACAGCTACATTTGGTTTTCTAAAAAAGTATTTTGATACCTGTATTTAAATGTAATTGCTTCGCAATCTTATATTTTTATTGGAGTGAGCTACACATGAAATTTACCATTCGAACTAGTTTTAAGTACTGTATACAATCGGTAGCATCAAGTGCATTCACATTATTCTGCAACTATCACCTCTATCCTTCTCCAGAATATTTTCATCTTCCCAAACTGAAGCTCTGTACCCATCAAACAATAACTCCTCCTCCTCACGGCAGCCAGCCCAACCATTCTACTTTTGGTCTCTGCACTTTGGGCTACACTAGGTATCTCATACACCAGCATTTGGCTTATTTCACTTAGCATAGCAGCTTCAAGATTCATCCATGTAAGGGACCAGCAGTTAGTGTAATAGCTATGTTGCTGGACTCGCATGTAGTTGACTGCGGTTCAAGTCCCGGACCTGGTACGCTGGGCGTGTGTGTGTGTGTGTGTGTGTGTGTGTGTGTGTGTGCGCGCGCGTGTGTGCCCAAGATCCCGAGAGGAGAAAGGAGGAGAAGGGATTGCGGCTATGGCCATCCCCCTCGGGGGTGATTTCTCGCTTTCTGTCTCTGTCTTTCTGGTGAGTGCACGCACCCTATAGCAAAAACCTCTCAAAAAAAAAAAAAAAAAAAAGATCATCCATGTAGTAGCATGTGTTGGGATTTCATTTTTTAAGGCTAAATAATATTCCATTGTATGTATACACCACCTTTTGTTTATCTTTTCATCCACTGGTGAACATTTGGGTTGTTTCCACCTTTTCCATTGTGAATTAAGGTTGCTTTGATCATCATTGTACAAATATCTCTGCTTTTTAAAAAATTCTTGTGGGTATATACTCAAAAAAGAAATTGCTGGATAATATGGTAAGTCTATGTTTGTTTGAAGAATATATATTTAGGGAACAGCAGTTAGCATAATGGTTACGCACCTGATTCCCACATTTCTTGCTTTCTGTCACTCCAGCAAGTTCACGAACCTTATAGTAAAAAACAAAAACAAATACAAAAATAAAAATTAAAACAAAACCTTTCTTAAAAGAAGATTATGTGTTTTTATGCACGAAAATATGCATGTAAAGATAAGCGTTTCAGACTCCTGTTGCACATATTTTGTTTTACAGTCTATCTCGGCCACTAGATGGAGGACTTCTTGACAAGGATTACCCTGAGCCGGTGCCTCGGTAACTCTCCCAGATACGTAGTAAATGCATTCAGCGCCTAGTGGGCGCCTTGCCTCCGGTACTGGACAGAGTGCAGGCAATACTGAAGTGCAGAATGTATCCCCCAAAAACTCAGCCTAGGGAGGCCTGAAGATGATGTTAAATGCAACCCAATTCTTAAACTGTGCTGCTTCCTTACATGTGTGATCTGGGACAAGGTCACCACCCTTTCCCCTCGTCCCGGTCCGACTCTCCCACCCATAAAATAAACCTCATCATCAGTTTTCGTCATAAGCACTAGGAGTGTATGATCCTGCCCCTGGAGGGTCTTCCCGCGCCCATCCCTCCTTATCCCCCACCAGCCCCCAACCCGAGCGGTAGTCACCGACGGTCCCCGCGGTGGAACCCGCGGAACTCGGCGGTCCCAGGAACGCTGGGCCGCACCGGGGAGCAGCGGTTGACCCTCCGCGCCAGCAGGGGGCGCTAGTCTGGACCACGCCAGAGGCAGCGCTCGAGCTGAGCTCTTCTCGGCGGCGGCGCACCGCCATACTGCCGTCCGCGG